ATTTATATTTTTTCATATATTTGTTATTCATTAATTACATAAACTAGATGTGAGACTCATGTATTTCATGAGTTTATTTAAAAAAATATTAAATATAAAATTTCAACAATTTGAGAAGTTTGAATTTATAAGAAAAATAAGAAATTTTTTGAATTATTAAAATTAATGAGACTTTAATACATTGAATAAATTACATATATAAACACTTTTTAATAAATAGCTTATATATATATAACCTTACATATTAAATGTGGAATTTTAATTTAATAAAATGAAAAATACAATAAAAAGACAAGTGCAAAATAGAAAATTCAAAAATTCTAGAAAATATCATGTGACACAATGAATAAAAAGAAAACATGTGACAAAAAAACATTCATTTATTAGATATGATTAACATATAATTTATACACAATTTACAAATCTTAAAATGGTCAATAAAATCATCAAATATTTATTTTTTATAATATTTGTTATTTGGTATATATAGAAATCATTATATGTTTTATAGACATTTGTTACATTTGTTTTTCTCACTTATAAATATTAAATCACAATTTATAGAATTAGGAGAAAGATTAAATAATTGTGTTGATATGTGTATTTGCTGTTAAAAGAACTAAATAAATATATTCTTGGGGAACTCACGGGTTCGTCTAGTAATGTGATAAAACTTAAGCAAAGTTCTACTTTATGTTATTAGGGTTTATAGTTTTGTTTCTCTCATTATATATATATATATATATATATATATATATATATATATATATATATATATATATATATATATATATATATATATATATATATATATATATATATATATATATATATATTAAAGTTTTCAACAAAAGAAATAGTAAATTTATCATTTTTTTGGCAGAATTGATCGCTGCATTTTGCTCCTTATTTTTTACTTATTTTAACATTTTTGGTCCTTGCAATCAATATTTTAACACTTTTTAGGAACCTTTTAATATATAAAGTTTTGCTACAAAACTTTAACGGTTTGACAACCTGGATCCCTTTCTAAAAATTTGCTAATTCCTATCCGTTTAATTCTTTATCCGTTTTGATACTTCTGATCATTGCTGTCAAAATTTTTATATATTTTTTTTTTCATAAAAACATGAAAAAATCGGTTCGGGGCAAAACCCAGACTTTTCATTCTTGCACTTTCTACATCTGTCATATTTATCGATTCGGATGCGGGGCTGAACCTTTCTAGTTTCTAATTAAAACTTAACTTTGTTGTTACTTTTATTATTAAAGTTTATTATTTTAATATACTTTGTTAATGTTCTAATTTCCATTTAAAACTTATATATATATATATATATATATATATATATATATATATATATATATATATATATATATATATATATATATATATTATCGACAGACCTAACACATTTTTCTTTTATTTAAACCGACAAAAAAATGTATTAATAAAAGACCAAACCCACCAAGAAGCTAGTCAAAAACGAGATACAAAAAGTATGACAAGGAAAAAAAAAAGTAAAATAAAAAACAAATTACAGTCCCACTAAGAGGCAATTACATCATTCCACCCAATTTAAAACTCATTTTAATCTTTTTTTTGTCTCCCCTGTAAGTTGTTGACATGATAATATCCATATGCTTCTAATAACCCCGTAACAAATTCCTAAAAGTCTTTTCTTTTTTCTTTTGAATAATTTTTCCAGTTAGATTAGAAATCAAGCACATCATGGACTGAACTAGATCTTAGGTTTGCAATCGGGATGTTACAGCATATGAGAATCCATTCTATGACTGACCAGAACATGATCAGTAGTTTCAACCTCATTACCGCATTGACAGAAAGCTACATGAGTCAAGGTTAATAACATTTAAAAAATAACTCGATATTAATAAAAAATAACTTGATGACTATTAACTATAAATTAATAATAAGAATTTATATATTTCTAGTACCATGTATATATTTATAGAATATAATTATTTTGTTATAATAAACATAATATATTTTTCATAATTTTAATCGTTATAGTTTTCTTATTTCGAATTGGGTAAGTGTGCATATAGTTTTCAATAGAGTTAACCAAAACAAATAACTGTATTTTATTTTGAAACAATATAAACTATCGGCGCAATGCTAATTACCCTAAAGATTACCTTTTTAAAACCATACGAACCAATGTTGAAATTTCATTATAAAGCAAATTATTATAAAAAAGTCAAAGCAAGGCCACAGCAATCTCAACGTGCAATGATAAGATATCAATTAAACAAAGCTAATATTGATTTTGTTCTCCAGTCGTGCATGTGAATCATGTGTTAGTCAATGTCACATGCCACGATTTCATCATTCATTCCACACATTCCAAATGTCAATATTTGGTGTTCTAGATCATACGTTCTCCAAATTTATAGTTACATGTACAAATAAATAGGACACATCAATCCTCATAATATAAGGTTGGAAGAAGTGGTGCCGTTAAAACCGTACTTTCTCTTCCACCATATAAGCGTCATGTCAAATTATAACATATAAGTGTGGTTTCTTGCCACATTTTTTTTGTTATTTTTTTTTACTATTTTAATTTAATAAAACTTATTTATTTAATAAAAAAACATAATTTTAAAAAGATAATATTTCATTAATTAAAAATACAAATACCATACATTACTTAACTTAAAAAAAAAACTAAAAATTTAGAAAAACAAAGTAGAAACATAAAACCTACAACTTAAAAAAAAAAATACACACACACGAAACGATTAAAAACTTGAAAAAAAACTAGAAATTAGCCACAATTGATGTAACGATTTTTCACTTCCTCATTCATCGCCAAAACCACTTTAAGCTCGGCCGCGATCATATTCGACGTGTTCATCACTAGTACTCCCCTTGTTTCCAAAGCTCTATTTCAGAAGCAATTTTCAAATCTTGTCAATTCTATCTTTTATACCCTTCATATCGGATTCCATTTCTTTCAAATCATCTGAATCTGACGCTTTGCCTTTGCCTTTGCTTTTGATTTGTCTCTTCCCATTGGTCGGGAAGGTGGTGAAACCGGCACAGGTTTATCTTCGTTCAGATCAATTTGAACACGAGCATCTAATGTAGTGTGGTCAGACTCAGATCTTCTGCTGCGTTTTCATCCACTGTTAATATGCCCGTCTGATGTTTTGCTACTCAACCATTTGCTGTTATCTTTCAAAAAATTCCAAACTTCAAGAAACTTGAAAGCCTTCATATTTTATTTTTGATACACTTTCAACGCTTTCTTCAAAATCACTTCATCGTTTTCTCCACTTTTCCATTGACGTTTCATGTTGTTCCACAAGTCATTAAACAGCATGACTTCCTTGTTCATCTTCCCCCATTTGGAGTACACTTGATGTTTTGAATGATATTCTCCACGATTTATTTTTTTGTTGAACCTGTGTAAAACGCGAATCCAAAAGCGATCATGCTTTTGGTCTTTTCCAACACTAGCATCTTCTGAAATATCGATCCAAGATTGTACCAACACTAACGCTTCTGAAGGTTCCCAACATCTAGCCTCCGCCTTCTCTTTTCTTTTAGTTGTTGCTCGAGTGGGCTGAGTTTCTGTAACGAATTCTGGTTCAGAATATGAAACGACCGTTTCTGGTTGTGTTTGTGTTTGTTGAACAAACTCAGGTTGAGATAAAAAATCAAATTGATTAAAATCCTGGTCGGATTGTGGTAGTGGTATTGTTTGTGGTTGTGGTTGCGCTGGTCATTGTGGAAAATACGGAAACATACCGTCATAGTGGTAATACGGAGGTGAGAAAATCGGTTGATTAAATGAAGGTAGTGGGATGTTGGTATTTATGACTGGTATTTTTTTCTTTGCTGGGTCGTTTAGAAGATGATATTTTTCAAAAAAATAAATAAATAAATAAATAAATAAAAGTAGTAGAGATATGGTAAAATGTTGTGTAGATTGGTAATATATATATGTGTGTAGTAAAGTTTTTTTTTTATTTTTTTTATTTTTTTTTATTTTTAAAAAGAACAAAAAAAGAAATTAACCACAAAGGTCATTCAACGGTCAAAAGTAGTCAAAACCCAATGACCAATCAAAAACCGCAGTATTTCCTAGCTGCACTGCGATCAAGACTGCACCAGACCGCGGTTTGAGGGCGGCGTTCTTGGTCAACATGACACCAACTGCGGTCTGAGACCGCGCCCACACTCTTCAGCCTAATGGACTTTGGATATATTGTTGAATTATATATCCAATCTTGATTTAAAAGATAAAAATCCGTTAACTATTATTATTATTATTATTATTGTTATTATTATTATTATTTGTTTTTTTAATTAAAATAATTATTTATTAGTGTTATATTTATTAGTTATTACTTCAAGAGTTCAAGGTTTAATTTGAACTGGAAAATATGTCGTTCGCTAGTAAAACTGACAAAGTAGAAAACTTGGACACGCCAGTATTGAAGGAAAAAAGGCAACGAAGTCATTTTCTGAATTTTCAAGGGTACTACTTGTTCTTCGAAGGGAAATATTTAAAGAATGCTGTGCAAGAGTTCTTTATATATATATATATATATATATATATATATATATATATATATATATATATATATATATATATATATATATATACACACTAAAACATGACCTTTAGCGACGGAATCAGCTACGGATTTTGTATGTAGCTAATTAGTGACGGCTTACAGAGGGATCAACGACTGCACACATAAATATTTCGACCAAAATACTTATAGACTTTTATAGATGTATTATCGAGGGATTAACGACTCAACTGCAAGAATTTATCGACAAAAACGGGCACTTCCCCAATCGGTCGCAAATTAAAAAAATTTAGTGATGGAACAACGACGGACTATTAAAAATCACACACCCTTTTTTTTATTAATCCCTCGCCAATCACCGATCACAGAAAATGGACGCCTCCCTTTTTTTTCATTCCCCACTTTTCTTTCCCTCGTTTTCTTTTCCTTCCATGCTTTTATTTTCATTCCTAAACTCTAAACAATTTTCTCCAAAAGACCTAATCGACCTCTGTCGACTTAAATTCCTCCTCCGCCCGGAAAATCACCTCCACCACCGTCTACCTGCGCGTCCCTCTTTGAAGTATACTTGAAAATTACAGGAAAACCTTATAAATCACATCCTCGCTTTCTTTCCTCTCGGTCCATTTGCTTTCCTCGTTGAGTCGTCATTCATCAGTTATCGTAAACCTTCCTATTCTGGTTTCTAGTTGTCTGTAAGTTCCATATTCATGTAGCTCTCTTACTTCTCTTTCATTTTAGATCAAATCAGAACTCATTTTTCTAAGCTCTGCCTTCCTCAACTCGTTAATTTTGGTTTTCCTAGGGTTTTCTTGGTGCTTACATACATTTTGTTTTTGCTATTACAATTTAAAGCTCTCGCAGATGAAATTGTATGATATTGATTGGTACCGGGTGTAGGCATTTGACAAGGGGCTCAATTTCAAAACGACAACAATACATGGAGTGGCCGGAAGATGTGTCATCGAAGAAATTAACAACTACACCACTCATGTACTCGACTTTGGCAAACAAACATCTCAGTGTAATTAAATTTACAAAATTTAGTCATCTAATTCTTTGTTTCTAGATTTTATCAACTTTGAAGATGAAAAACATTATGAAATATTTGCAGATAATCTCATAAAATCACTGCTCTTTCTTTCTTATTTCATGGGAGATATTCCTCATGTATGTGATAGTAACGAATTTCACTTTATTATCTAACAAGTTAAAAGACTAAATTGCCCTTGTTACTGTCACTACATGTAGGATTCACTTCTGATAGAGAAGGGAACATGATCAATGTTCATATGTAATCTAAATTAAGATTTCTTGTTAAACTAATGATTAAAAATACATACAATACGTTATACAGGTTTGGGATGACAGCATAACTGAGACTGCAGAAGAAATATTCTATAATTCTGATGTTGAAAATCTAGTTAAAGCTATTTAGACCAACATAATGGTATTTTACATATTTACTTTACATGACTTGTTTAAGAATTAGAAAGTTTTTTTTTGGGATTTTAATTAGTATTTTTATACATTTTGTTTGGCAAAAAGAATGGGCATATCAAGTTCCAACAGGGGAGAAGTGCATCAGAAATCAGAATACTTGTCCCAACTTGTATGTGAAACCGTATATAATACATAGATGCAAAAAACAATTACAAATGAACATTTTTTTTTATAAATTTGATTACTTTCAACAGATATGCAAGTGAAGGAATAAAAGCAACATGTAGTTGGGCATACAAAGGAGTTGGGAATGATTTTGTTCATGGAGATGACTACTTTTTGTCTCCTTTACCAATTGTTAATTGGCGATTAGCTCAAGGTGGTGTTAGATTGTCATTTTGCTTTAAGTTATCACCAAATACTAATTAAATACTAACATAAGTCATATATATATATATATATATATATATATATATATATATATATATATATATATATATATATATATATATATATATAGCTCTTGCTTCAAATATATGTTAGAAAATGAGCTACTTCTGGTACTTTATTCTTGAAATTTATTATCTTGTTCTTTTTTTTATGTGTTTATAAACAATAATTTTTTAGTCTGTAAAGTTTCTAATTTATTAATTGTTTGAAGTGGTAGTTAGGTCTCTATTCAATCTACAGAAGAAGAAGATGATGAGAAATTTGACTGGTAAAAACTAGTGTGCTGGCAGGAAAGAAAGGAGTTACTAACAAAGAAAAAATCACTTCACATGTTGTTGAAAAGTCGATTATTTGGTCCATGTGCATTCCAGAAAAAATCACACAGATAATTAAACTTTTTCTTTAAATTTATATATTTCTTCAGTAAATAAAAAATATATGATTTAAAACATTAAAAACTTTAATATATATTTTGCAGGCGTTATCTTGAAGTACTAAAATCCCATAGTGAGTTCTCTATGTGTTGACCAAGGTTTGACTGCTCTTCAATAATGTAACTTTATCTTTAAATTATTTTATCTTTTTTAATGATTATTTTAATCATACAGGAAGGGATCAGGGGAATAATGTAAGGAAGAAGTCCTAAAGTCTTATGGCTCTAATCAATAAATTGTATTTGGATTTACTTTATTTATTTTCTCTTAAGTAGTGTTTGGAATGATGGTTAGATCCATTTCATTACCTAGTTCATTCCATTCCTTTGTCCATTCCATTCCGTCCAAGCAAAGGCCTGTGGAAAGACCTATAGACCATGAAGGTTAGTCTTTAACTTTTTTACTAATTAAAAATATCTACTGTTAATTTTGGTCTGGATGATGGTCGTTATGAGATTACAATTTCTAACAAGCAATTTGCAAACATCATATTTTTTTTCATCAACATGTATTAACATTTACTTTTTGGTTGGAATCGGAATTTAATTCCATTCCGGTCCCATATTTGGTTTCAAATGAGTAGACACTAATCTCTTTTTCATTAACAGAAAAGCATTGCTTCCAACAAAGACATTAAATATAGCAAAAAGCAGGAAGACATCATGCAACCCAATCTTTTTCCATTGCTAGAAAAACTAAATGGAAATTGGTTCTCCTAATTCCATGGGATTGAACAGGAATTGGAATCCAATTCCATTCTGATCATTCTTTTGGACACAAGATATCAAAGCAACGAAGAACATGTGTGCATAAATGCAAAATATGAGAGGAAATTTAGAATTATGGTACATTATACTTTAAAATCAAATAACAATCAACGTTGAACTTTGATATTTGATGTTTATGAACGTTTTGGTAAATGCTGATAGTTAGATTCTTTTAGGATTTTAATGTTAAAGTTTGGTTTGTGAATGTATAATTAGTGGATGTTTTTTGTATTTAAATGTGAATATTTGTTTTGGATTATTTAATTATTTGATTTTTTGGTATATTTTTTTTAGATTCACAACAAATGAAAATCTGGTATTATTTATTTGCAAGGGAATAGCTATGGAAAAAAAATTCACATCTTAAATTTGTGACAGATCACTGACGGAAAGAGAAGAAATCACATCTAAAATTTGCAAGGGATTAGCGAGGCATTGAAAAAAACTGATATAGAGGTTTGCGAGGGATTAGTGACGGAATATTGTTGTTAGGTTTTGTCGCCAATGTCCTAAATTGCAGTATTAAGTGCCATTTTGCGATGGCTATTTTGTCGCTAAGCTCGTCGCAACAAAAAACTACACCGTTGCTAAATCCCTTGCTAAGTCATTAGCCACCCTTTAATTGGCTATGGAGTAAGTCTGTAGTTGATCCGTCACAAATGATCTTTAGCGATGGATTTGCGATGGATTCGTCCGTCTCTAAAAGTCATGTTTCTAGTAGTGATATATATATATATATATATATATATATATATATATATATATATATATATATATATATATATATATATATCGCTCCTGTTCTTTAAGATTAAATATAACTATTTGATTAATGTGGATATATTTTGTTGTATTGGCGATTCAATATTATCTATTGTGTTGTTACATGTTGGTATAAAGATGTCATCTTAAATCATATCTAATGAAAATAGAAACTTTTTTTTGGAAAGGGAACTTCCCTAACGAGGGTTTATGGGTCAGCTTTCGCGCACCGACTAATCCCCCGTTGCAAACATAAAGCTTTGCCTCATGCCCTGGAGTCACTGCAGGCGAACCTCCATGGCCACAAGGGCTAAGTGGTGCTAGGATTTGAACATGAGTCAATAGGTTATCCATCATATCTTCCACATACCTTACCAAGTCACCACAACCCAAATGGTTAAAAACATAGAAACTTGATTACATGATGAAGGTATGTGGTTAATTACTAGTATTGAGTAATTTTTTTTGTCTCCGAATGTTCTCATTAATTATTATAATTGTTTGAATATAATAGTAGAGAGTTCACAAATCAATGAAATTGAAACAATGGGGATAGAACATTATCGCCAAAAAGGTATGGGGACACAAAACAATTTTTTTTTGTCACTCAACACAACATCATCACTATTTTTCCACCATTTATTCTAGAAAATATCGACCGCTTAACTAGCAAATAGCAACAATAATTTCCACCTCTTATTTACTAAAAACAAATAAGCATAAATTAAAATAAAATCATTTAATTTAATTAAAAAAAATACAAAAACATTAAAAAGAAAACAAAAAACTAGAAAAACCTACTATTCATCTTCATCCTCGGTAGCATTTTGAGTGTATTATAAATTCTACATCAAATATTACCAAAAATTGGTGTGTGTTTCCGGATTGTGTGTTTCTAAAACCCTAGCCATTTGGTCACTACCGAGTATAAATTGTGGATGTCGATGAAATACATCGTGTGGATTCTAGATACAACTCATACAAGTATTCTAACATTTAATTTTCTTCAATTACCATATTATTTAATATGATACAAATGCACAAAACCCTACATAAATTTTCTAGATGATATGATTGTACCGAATGTCTCATTATGTGACATTTCCTTTTAAGGACTCCAAACATACGTTTGATATCCTTTTCGTATCGATTTCTAGTTGTCTTCAACAATATATGTTTTTCGTTAATAATGTAATACTCATACTTGTATTGTTTTCCATTCACTACAAATCGAGCACATTGTGCTTCTCTTATAAAAGTATCATTAAAGAATGTCGAATCATTGAAAATGATATGTCATTGCTGGACTCGGCAACACCAAAGTAAGCTTGAGAAAGCCATTGATCTTGTGACACAATGGATTCGAGTATGAACGTCATCACTCCATAATCACCTCATATGCATTGACCTTTCCACAGATTTTGACAATTTTTTCCCAAACCCAGTGGATACAATCGATGCCCCTAGGATTCCTTGCAAACCATGTCCAACTTGATGTGCCATGTATAATTCTCCAACTTCACTACATGTAGGTTTCCGAAATATATATTGCCATAAAGCTCATTGTTAGGGTCGAAGACATTTTGTAATGAGTCGAAGACCATACCCTTCGTGTACTTGTAATGTATTTACTAAGACGTCTGTTTGTACGAAGCTTAAATGAAATGTCTTAGTATTTTTTTATACTTTCTTGTTTCCTATAAATATGAACTTTACTTAGAGTTAGATAAGAAGTCTTTACATAATTGTACTCTTTGTAAAACTGTGTAAAACTGTGAAAGTACAATAGAGCTGAAACATGATCATATTTACATCTCGTGTTCTTTCATATCGTATTCACTCTGATTTGATTCACATTTACTTGATTAACGATTCTTCAATTGGTATCAGAGCAGGATTCAAAACTACGATCTAATTTTCTGATTGAATCTGTTGTATTTGAATCGAAAAATTTGATTAAAAAGTTTCTACACAATTAGATTCAGAAAATCATCAAGGATCTTGAGTTTTGTTTTGATTCTGCATTGAATCTGCTTAATCGAGTGTTTGTTCTTGAAATTCTGTTAAATTCATTCAGTCAAAATCAAATGTCTTCAAACTTTCTTAAAATTTCAATCCGTACAACAGTGGTGAATTTTAATATGAACACTATTACTTCTTTTTCGCATCTCTTAGGATCTTCTACAAAAATTCCAATTCTGATTCCTGAATATTACGATCAATGGGCTGACAAAATGGAGGATTATCTAAACGGTCTAGATGAAGAATTATGGAGTTGCATCTCTAGAACAACACAACCTCCTGCAAATGATCAAATCATTGGTTCGTCAAATTCAACTGCTGCTGTTGATGAACGTGCTGACAGAATGAAGAGACATGAGAAACGATGTCTGAGGGAGCTGAGATGGAGTTGCATCTCTGGAACAACACAACCTCCTGCAAATGATCAAAACATTGGTTCGTCAAATTCAACTGCTGCTGTCGATGAACGTGCTGACAAAATGAAGAGACATGAGAAACGATGTCTGAGGGAGCTGAGAGGTGCATTGCCACCAGTTGTTTACAACTATGTTCGTGGTTGTAAAAGTACGAAGGAGATATGGAACACTCTTAAAGAAAAGTAACAAGGAAGCGAAAGAACGAAAATTAACTCAGTGAAGCAATGTTTGGTGGAGTTGAAGGAATTTCGACAGAAGGAAAATGAAACAATCGAAGTCTACTATGATCGCTTCAACGAGCTGATATATCGATGCAATCGATATGGTATCACTCGTTCCACAATGGAATTCAATCTTATGTTTGCCATGGGATTCCGAAAAGAGTGCAGAAGCGTGAGTATGATGGTTAGAAATCAGCAAAGTTTCGATACATCTTCATTGAATGATTTGTATAATCAACTCAAAACTCACGAAAGTGAGGACAATGAGATGGTTGAGGATTCGAAGCTTACTATAGGTGGTCCTTTCATCCTTTGGCTCTGGTCTCGAAAGTTACTGAAAAATAAACTGTTGAAAGTGGTGATTCTGATGTTGAAGAAGGACTTTTAATGAATTCCGACGATGAAGCAATTGCATTTTACTCCAACAACAAAGTCAAAAAGTTCTTTAAGAAACCATTTAATTCGAAGACAAGGCAAAGTGAAGGAAGAGGAAATTTTCTGATCAAGGCTGGTGGTGAGGAGAAGAAGAAGACAGAAAAGAAGGAAATGAAAGTTATTGAGGTGAAGAGAGAGAAGAAATTGAAAGGAGATTGTGGAATAGATTGTCACTATTGCAAAAGGGCCAATCATCTTGTGAATGATTGTATGCTTCGTAAGAAAGAGGAGAAGAAGAACAAGGTAAAGGATGAGGCGTATTATTCGGAGAAGTTGAAGGAGGTTAAAGCAAAAGCAAAAGGCATGTCGTTGGTTGCTAAAGGAGAACGGGAGGAAGAAGGTGTGTATCAGATTTGGTCTTCGGGATCAGACGATGATGAAATGCGTAATCGGACGCATGGTTCTCTGTATGCAAAATACGAATATGATTCTAACGAATAGGTCATAGGAAGATGCTTCGTATCCAAATCCGCTGACAAGTCTCCGTTGACTATGAAGGTACGTTATATTCTCAAATCTTTTAATATTCCTTTAAATACATATAACGATTAAATTGTTGCTTTTGATGACACTGTTACTTATTTCGATTCAATTGTTGTGTCTGCTAGTAACGAGGCTAAGAAACTGAGCTTACAATTTTTAGACATACAAAAGAAGCTTGATT